CGCCGCGCTGCCGGGCCGGGTGCTGCCGGACTCGCCTGCCCGGTCGCTCACGGCTGCCTGTCCTGTGCTTTCTTTCAGACCATTTCAATTGTCTACATAGTGACAGCCATTGTGGGAGTTGAGGCCTGGTATGCACCTTTCCTGTTTAATTTCTTATATAGAGACCTATTCACTGCAATGATTATTGGTAAGAAACTCCATGTTGAAGCCTGTCTTTTAAACTCCACCTTCTTAATGAAACCCAATGTCTTAATTACATGATAACGCTGCTCTGTTTGCTTAATGAAAGCTCCCGTAGGCTGTTATTGAAGTGACTAATTGAGGGTGTTCTCGCAGCCTGCCCTTTCCCAGGATTTCACAGCGGTGCTGCCTTCTGCGTAGTTTCTTTGGAGACGTTAACTCCAGCGTGCCCGGCTCCACGCTGACCAGAATCCCGGGGAAGGGGAGCGCCGCGCTCGCGCCTCAGGCGGGTTGTGTGCCCATACCGGGGGCACCCGCGCACACCGCTGCTCGGGGGATTGGCCCTGCCGGGGCTGAGGCTTCGTGCCGACGGGCACGGAATGGTTCCTGGCTGGCAGCGGTGCCGTGGGCAGAGGAGAGCGGCTGAGGGTTGTGGGGTGTGCCGGGGTGCGGGGAGGCAGCCGGAGCCGAGCACCGGCCCCTGGGTGCTGAACAGGAGACTCCCAGTGCCTGGGAGCTGCGGGCGCCTGGAAATGCATCTCCTCCCCATCGCTGCACTGCCCGAGCGCTGGGGCTGCGGGCTCCACCTTGCCCAGGGGAAGCACAGGTGGTTTTTGGTGGGAGCCGTGGGGTTTTTGGGGGTAAACACCAGCAAACGGTGCTGGGGCTGTCTGCAGAGCCCGCTCGTTCTGCTGCCAGGGGCTGCGTCTCGCAGCGCGGACCCGGGGCAGGACCCAGAGCCCCAACGCTGTGTGGGAGCCTGGGACTGCTGCAGGAGGGAGGTCACAGCCACAGAGGTGGGGAAAAGCCCTCTGCTCTTTGGGGATCCTGCCCTCCCTCCGCCCACCTGAAAATTAAATCGGTAGTCATACAAAATTAACGAAAAGCCCAGCCTTTCTCTCCGGTGGTCAGTGGGAACAAGCTGCTGCGAAGGGGGCAGCAACGCGGGTGCAGCTGAGCAGGGGAGAGCTGTCTGTGCTGAGTGAAGTTTGGAAGTTCTTTCTTAGTTTAACTCTTCTTAGTCTTTCTTTAGGTGTTAATTGCAGCTGCTTAATTTCACGCCAGTATGTCTTGAATTGTTGTGTTGAATCCAGTGCTTGCGCTTTTCTTAACCGGGGGGATATTCTGAGCTTTCCTTTGCCAGCCGTGTGACTTAGCATGAGAATGAGGAAAGCACCTTTCCTGCGGGAAAAGCAGAGCGCGGTGCCTACCTGGGCTGGACTTGTGCGCTGGGATAGGAGTTGGGTGACTAAAAGCAGGAACGTTCACAGCTCTGTTACAATACCTACTGCCGGATGAACACGGAAAGAGCCGTGATAGACTCTCAGGGGTTTGAGTGGGGTGGGTGATGTATTGAGGTCTACGTTCTTTCAAAGTTATTTAGACTCTTCGTGTCGTGTGTCAGGTTAAATGACAAGAACTTTTTTGCACAATGGGAACTCGAAATGTTTGCTTGCAGTAGGAGAAACAGCAAATTGGCTTTTTTGGGAAGACTGAAAACTCTCGTAGTGCACAGCCATGTCACTTGGGGGGTTTGAGCTTACCTTGTGTCTCATTAAAGACAGTATTGTAATTAAATTTTGTTTAAAGCATAATACTGGGCTCACTAATGCACCTTTTGAAAATGGAAACGTCTTTAATTTAGAGCAGACCTTAAGCTGCAATTACAGCTCTCGGAGCGGATGACGAGCAGCTACGTTGAAGCGTGCCGAGCTGCTCTCGCTGCCTCCGAGCGGGTTCGGTGGAGCAGCCCGAGCCGGAGCACAGCCCCCTGCCCCTTCGCGGCGGTCTCCCTCCGTGGCGGGGCGGTGACGCGGCTCTTTCTCTTCCAGCCTGCGCCCTCACTGTGACGCTGCCCATGAGCCTCTACAACTTCCACAAGTGAGTTCCTCTGCCCTCGCGTCTCCCTCCCTCCCTTCGCCAGAGCCCCCAGAGCCCCTCGGGACTCGGTTTCCCTAGCAGCCTTCACACGACCGGTGTCAACGTGACAAAGCGGCTCTGACGCGCCAGAGCGTCCCAGTTTGCGGGTGCGCTGGGAGGAGTGGGCGGGCAGCCCCGCTCAGCAGGGGCCCCGGCTTCTCTGGGCTGGTCCTGGCGCTCACAACCCGCG